AGTGTATAAAAATTGTCATCGATCCTTTGGAAATTATACAGATACATGAATAAGGAACATACAATTTGACCATAATCCCATTACACAGACACCGTCATTATAGGCCTTTGCCATAGTTTCTCTCTTTTTTTTTTTTTTATAATTTTATGTATTTATTTTTAATGTTTTATTTTATTTGAGAGAGAGCGAGTGGGGGAGAGAGAGAAAGATTTTTTTTTTAAGTTTTAATGTTTATTTATTTTTGAGAGCAAGAGAGAGCAAGCGGGGGAGGGACAGAGAGAGAGGGAGACACAGAATCCAAGGCAGGTTCCAGGCTCCGAGCTGTCAGCACAGAGCCCGACGTGGGGCTCGAACCCACGAACCGTGAGATGAGGACCTGAGCCGAAGTCGGGTGCTTAAGGACTGATCCACCCAGGCGCCCTGCCATAATTTCTTTTGTTTGTCTACACACATCTAAACGTGAATGCCTCCTGACACTGCTTTTTCCTCCCCCGCTGAACCCAACTGGCTGACCCACAGTTTCTTTGGTGATTGTTTTTTGGAGGGTTAGCTTCATCGGTTTCACTCTGTAACATCTGATAAGCAGGGGGGGCGGGTGATGGGCATCGCTGGGGGCACCTGTTGGGATGAGCACTGGATGTTGTATGGGAACCAATTTGACAATAAATTTCATATTAAAACAAAATAAAAAAAAAGAGAAGGGGCCTCGTCCCCTCTGGCTGAACTAGAGCTTGCAGCCTGGCCCTGCCCACGCCTCTCCCCTCCCCTCCCCTTCCCGGGCCCCGCTGAGCAGATCACTGACAGACTCTCTCCCGCAGCTCTGCTTTCAAACTGGAGGAGGACGACGCGCCCATCAAGCGGTGCCCCAAGTGCAAGGTGTACATCGAGCGGGACGAAGGGTGCGCACAGATGATGTGTAAGAACTGCAAGCACGCCTTCTGCTGGTACTGCCTCGAGTCTCTGGACGTGAGTAGAGCCTCTGGGTGCGAAACCCACCTGCTGCCCTGAGGAGCTTAGAGAGTGTGCCCGGGGGAAGCCGAAAGAACATTATCAGATGTTTTTCTGTGCTTCTGAAAATATTAATTCCCCCAGTGCAGTGGTGCCAGAAGATGGCAATTCGTGCAGGGGTTCCAGAAGCAAAAGGGCCGCTCAGCCTTGGATTGAGCCTGGGCAGGTGGGGGGCGGGGTCTCAAGGTCTTTGGTTTTGTCTGCGGGGACCATCTGGGCTCAGTCTGCTGTAACTGAACACCAGAGAGTGGGTGCTGGGACAACAGGCATTGATTCTGGAGTCCAGTAGCAGATTCGGTTCCTGGCTCTTGACCTCCCTCGGTGCCCAGAGAGGCAAGAGAGCCCTCCTCCTGGTTTATGGACGGCCGCCTTCTCACTGTGTCCTCACGTAGCAGAGAGACAGATTGGTGTCTCCTCGTTGAATAAGGGCACTGACCCCATCCTGGGGCACCCACCCGTCTCGTGACCTCATCTAACCATCTAATCACCTCCCAAAGATGCCACCTTTGGACACCATCACGTGGGGGATTCAGGCTTCAATGTATGAATTTGAGGGGGAGGGGAGGATGCAAACACGCAGGCCAAAGCAGGAGTGTTAGTGGAATAGGAAGGGTAAACAGAGGCAGGGCACTGGGGAACATGTTGGCAGTGGCACAGTTCAGTGACCTTCTGTCACCCACAGGGCAGAAAAACATACACTCTGTGCCATCTGGCAGAATGGAAGTTTCTAGCCTCATATGGCCACCTTCTCCCAAGTGTGCCCTGTGCTGAATGTGTCCCGAGCACTCTGTACCCCAGTAGCTCTGCACGTGCAAAGACCCCACCGAGAGCACACAACCCTCCCCTTTCGAAGCACCT